TAACCCCCAGCGACTACGGGGTGGACGTGCACGCACTCTCTCGCGAATGATTGAGGCCATGGGGGCCTCGGACCACTTCGACGTCTTCAACCTAGCAAGAGCAGAAATTGGCTACAGGAAGCTCCAGCTCATCGAACACTACTGGGACGATCGCAGTGCCTAGCAGCAGCAGAACAACCTCAAGATCCCCTTGGAAGATGCCCAGGCTTGCATGGGGGGCGCCCGCGCCCTGTCTATGGCGCGCCCGGAGCTGCTCGAGACGGCGCCGATGGAGTTGGAGCGCATCTCTGGCATCAAGAAGAACGCACGGAAGCTCGGGGAGGAGCAAGCCGCCGTCGCCAAGGCGAAGGCCGCCCCTCCCCGGTCGCGACGATGCTGGAGCCGCCGCCGGGACTGCCTCGACCCGGCGGCGTGAAGTGCGAGAGGCTGGCGGACGACGACGGACACGTGCAGCGGTCGTTTCTGCCATTGCCAGTCCCTGGCTGGTGCTCCGCCCCTGGCGGCCCAGCGCGAGCGCGCTCCGCGCGTCGCCGCCGCGGGCATCGGGCGCTGCAGGGCGAGCTCATGGGCGTTCTCGTCACGGCGCTCAATCAGCTGGAGGCCGGCTCCGACGCAGTGCGCAGGCAGTGCGAGGGCGAGACCGGCAGAGCGCAGCAGTTGCGTCTAGAGCTCCTAGCCGAGAGTTGCGCGGCGATGGGCGCTCCGCCATCGGACTTGTCGACCGAGGTGGCCCTTCGGGAGCTCCAGGTCGGCGCCGCCTACGGGGGCGACGACCCTGTCACGCGGCCCCCTCCGCGTGCGACCTCGCTTCCTTGCCGGCTGTCGGTGGCGCCCCGGCACCCGTGGGCCCGCTGCTCGGGAAGGAGGGGCCTGATCGTGCGAAGGTCAATTTCAACCGACGTTTTGCCAATAGAAGACGCCGAGGAGGTCAAGGGGGGGTCGGGCTTCACTCGCCCCTACCTGGGCCCAGCGCTGAGGCGGCCCAGGGAGTACCTGGCCTTCGTCGAGAGGATGAGGGGCGGCGGCATGCTGGATTTCAGGATCGACGGGGAGGGCTTCGAGGACGTCGGGCTCTTCACAGTTTGGAGAAAGGGCGGTCGCCAGCGCCTGGCGATCGACTGCAGGGGATCTAATTTGCATTTCGCAGAGCCAGATAAGACCAGCCTCGCGAGCGGGGCCAGCTTCAGCGCAGTGGAGCTGAAGGCGGGCGAGCAGCTGTGGACGGGAGGCGTCGACATCGCGGACGCCTTCTACGACGTGGGCTTGCCTCCTGAACTGCGTCATATCTTTGCTCTTCCTCGATTGCGCGCAGACCAGGTGGGCCTCCAACGCGTGGAGGGCCGCCCTGTCTTGAGCCTGACCTGGGTTCGCCCGTGCCTGGCCGTTTGGCCGATGGGGCGGACGCGCGCCCTGGATTTCTGCCAGAGGGTCCACGAAAATATTCTGCTTGAGGAAGGAGGGCTTGGCGAGGCCGCTGAGATCGTCGACGGGCGTCCGCCTGCGGATTCGGGCGAGGGGGCTTTCGCGGCCTACGCGGGCAACTTCGTCGCCTTCGGGGCGGAGCCCGGCCGGCCCGCGGCCATGCTGGACTCGGCTCGAACAGCGCTAGAAGGCGCGAGGCTGCCGCTGCACCCGACCGAGGCCCCCGTCGCGAACTCGGAGCAGTTGGGCTGGGCGTTCGACGGGGAGAAGGGGGCCCTGCGGCCCAAGAGCCGACGGGCCTGGAGGCTACGCTTGGGGTTCCAGGGGCTACTGGACCAGGGGTGCGCCGCGGGCCGCCAGGCGGGTAAGGTCGCGGGCCGCTTCGTTTTTATTGCGCTCGCCCGGAGGCCGCTACTGCTGTTTTCAGTGCCGTCTACAGTTTCTCTCGGAAGTATCTCGCTCGTGTCATTCAATTGCCACCTTCGGCTCGACGTGGGCTTCGATGGGCTGCTGCTCTCATTCCTATGGCCTGGTCCGACCTCAGAGCGCTCCGGGGCTCCGAGGTGCACGCGAGCGACGCCAGCGAAGGGGGGGGGGGGGGGCAGAAGGGCGCTGACGCAGAGACAATACGGGCGGCTGGAAGGCACAGGGAGAGGTGGAGGTTTCGACGTCCTGACGAATCGCGACCTCGAGACTGTCTCGATGGGCCCGGGGGCCACGTGGAGGAGCAGGAGGTCGTGGAGGGCGAGAGGAGAGCGGAAGGTGCCTGACGTAGGTAGCGAGCTGTACGGGGGCAGGTGGCAGGTGGTATCGAGCGGAGGATGGGCCCGGCCTGAGAAGATCGTCGTCTTGGAGGGTCGTGCCATCGTTCGCTCGCTGCGACGTGCGCTTCGGGATTCGAAGTCCTTCGGTCGTCGCCTGCTTTCCCTGTCCGACAACATGGGGCTCGTGTGTGCATTGCAGAAGGGCCGCTCCTCCGCCGGGGGTCCTTCGCGCCGCGCGCCAATGGGCCGCGCGGCGCCTGGCTGGGGCGGTGCAGCCCGCTGCGCGCTGGATCCCTTCAGACAGGAACATCGCGGATGCGCCGTCGCGCCGCCACATCCCCCTTGGAGCGTGGCTTGACTGGTCCGCCGGCGGCGCCACCGAGGACGTCGATTGCTGGGGCGCCCGCGACGAGGGCCGCCGCAGCCAGCAGGCCGACTGCGCCGGGGCTGCCTCGGAGCTCGACGAGCTCGCAGTCCGCGCGGCCGCCGCCGCCCCCCCCCGCGGCGCTCGCCGCTTGCCGACGGTTGCGCGGCAATCAGCTGGCGGACGGGGCCGCCAGGCCGAGGCTGGCCGTCCGCCGGCCGCGGCGCGTGTGCACGGCGGCGGCGGGGGCCCGGCGGCAAGCCCGGGCTCCGCTCCGTCACGAGGCGGCCAGGGCGGGGCGCAGGCTGGCGCGGGCGGCGCTGCCCGCCCACGCCGGGTGGCGCCTGCCACGCGACGACGAGGTCGACAACCTGCTCGCTGCCTGGATGGACCGGGAGTACCTGAGCGGGGAGCTGGCGCATGGCGGCGGCCAAGTTCTTCCGGCCCCAGTTTGCGCGGACGGGCAGCCTCTCGCTGCCCCGCGCGGCGCAGGCCTTGAAGGGCTGGAAGCGGCTTGCCCCCAGGAGGGCGCGGCTGCCGCTGCCGTGGGAAGTCGTCGCGCTGCTGGCTCTGGAGTTGCTGGGTGCCGGCTTCTGGGCGATGGCGGCGTGGACGGTCATCGCGTTCCGCTGCTATCTCAGGCCCAGCGAGCTGGGACGGGTCACGAGGGAGATGTTCATCCCGCCGACGCCCGGCGCCCAGGTGACGAATTGGGCGGTCGTCTTGTATCCGTCCGAGGAGGAGGTCAGCAGCAAGACGAGGGAGTTCGACGAAACGGTGGTGTTCGACCTGCCCGACTTCGGCTTCCTCAACGACGTGCTCGGCTATTTCCGCAGGGGGACGCCCCCAGGCCAACCCGTCTTCGCCTTCGCGCACGCGGACCTAGCGTGGAATTTCAGGCATGCCGCGGCCCGCGCCGGGGTGGAGTGCCTGGGGCCGGAGCTGCACATGCTGCGGCACAGCGGGCCGAGCCGCGGCCGAGCGCGTCAGCTCCGCTCGCTGCAGGAGATCAAGCTGCGCGGAAGGTGGCATTGCGACTCCAGTGCACGGAGATACCAGAAGGAGGGGCGCGTGGGGGGGCAGCTGCAGCGGTTGCCGGCGGCCGCGCGTGCACGGGCGATGAGCGCCGTGCTGGCTTTGCCGCGGGCCCTCGCGAGGCCTTCGCTCGCGCCCTGGCCTCCAGGGGCGGCCGCCTCGTCCAACCGCAGGTCCTTCTAGAATTGTTCAGCGGTCGCGGGGGCCTCTCCAAGGCGCTGCGGGCGAGGGGCTTCGTCGTGCTGGAGCGGGGCCGCCCCCAGGGGCCGCAGTGGGATTTGATGGCTCGAGCAAATCAGAAGCTGGTGCGCGGCTGGATCCTGGCGGGTCTTGTGTGGGGCGTGTTCATGGGCGCGCATTGTCAGACCTGGACCCGTGCTCGTGATGCCAGGCCCCTCCGAGATCCCGACAACCCCCAGCCGTACCTGCCGTCGCACCTCCGCATCGATCAGCACCTGATGGGGTTGCCGGAGCTCCGACACCCAAGTGATCTGGAATAAGTGAGGCTCGGGGATACTCTCGCCGCGTTTTGCTGCAGCGTCCTCGAGCTAATGCACTTTTTAAACCTGCCTGTCGGCATTGAGAATCCTGCTCGCTCTCGGCTCTGGCTCCTTCTGCGCCTGTTGAAGGCTCAAAGCTGGGCTTCCTCGTCTTGTACAGTCACGGATCTGTGCCGGTGGGGGACACCGTGGAAAAAGCCCGCGGGCCTTCTTGGAGATCGTCTCGGGCTGACTCATATGGCCTGCAGGTGTCAAGGCAGAATTCGTTGTCGATCTGGTTATGTAATCCCCACACGTCGACTCATTGTCTGGCAGGCTCCGGTGGCTTTAAAACGAAGGCCGCGGAGCAATACCCGCCTCGCTTTTGCCGGGCCTTGGCGTCCGCTTTCGACCATGCGCACGGGTGCAGGAAGACAGGTCGCCTGAACCCCCTCTGTGCCAATCCAACTGCTGGCCAGGCGCCGCCTTAGGTCTGCAAGTTCAGTGTATAATATATGATGCGAATGTGTTTCCTTGCAGTAACTAATTAAGTCGAGTGGACCAACTGGATAGTATGGCGAGGTTGCGTGTTCTTGAGCCTTCGTCTCAGGCTAATGTTCTCTCCTCGCGTCCGCCTGTCGCCGGACGCGGCCCGATTGTTGCCAGAGCTGGTGCGTCCCCATGCCTAAGCTCGTCTGCGTTCAGCGGTGCCGCAGAAAAGAAAACCACTGGCCTCGGCAGCGGCGGCAGCAGTCATCCTCCTCCTTTTCCTCCTCCGCCTCCTCCTCCTCCTCCTCCTCCTTCTCCTCCCCTTCCCCCTCCCCCTTCTCCTTCGAACCAGCGTCGCGATCCTGCCCCAGCGGGCGACACCCAGCGTGAGGCATCCTCGCGACGCCCGGGCCTCGGTGTCCGCCGCGCGCCCGGCGGGGCCGCCAGGCGACCGCCCAGCCCGAGACGGCCATGGCGCGCCCTTTGCCCGCGGTGGCTGGCGCCGCGGAGGCGGCGCTTGGCGGGGGGCCACCTCTTCCCCTCTCCTCTTCAGGTTTCCTCCCTCCCCGTCCTCCTTCCCGTCCTCCTTCCCGTCCTTCCCGTTCTCTCTCTCTCTCTCTCTCTCTCTCTCTCTCTCTCCTCGTTTTCCTCCTCCTTCTCCTCCTTCTCCTCCTTCTCCCCCCCCTCTTGCTCCCGGGCCAAAACCGACGCAGCTTAGGATACCATCGGGCATGGTGTCCAGCTAGTTCGTTGTTCCAATGTTATTATTGCGTTTACGCCGCACCGCCGACCCCTTGGGGGTCTCCTGGTAGGTCTCTCGGGAGTTTTTCGGCAGCATATTTGGACATTTTGGGGACCGTTTGGGGGCCTCTTTTGAGCCTTTTGGGGGCCTCTTGGGGCCTTTTGGGGGCCTTTTGGGGCCTCCTGGGGGTCTCTTGGGGCCGAGGGCTCGAATTTTTTGCGCGGGTCGAGCCGTCTTGGATGGCCTCTGGGGCCGTCTTGGAGGTCTCTTGGGCCGTCTTGGGGCGATCTTGGGGACGTCTCGGGCCGTTTTGGAGCGTCTGGAAGCCGAAAACACGAGACCCCCCCAAACCTTCAAAAACATATGGAAATGCTATGATTATTGCTTCTTGGGGCCCTCTTGACAGGCCTCTCGGAGGCCTCTTGGGGCGTATTGGAGGCCTTTTGGGCCATCTGGGGACCATGTTGGGCGTCTTGAAGCGATCTGTCAGCGATTCGGGGCACTCTTGGACCGTCGTGGGGATCTCTTGGGCCGTCTTGGGGGCCTCTGGGGGCCCTTGTGGGGCATTCTGGAGCCGTGACGCGTTCGGGCCGGACCCACCCCCCTTCCAAATTGACCGGACCGGGCCTCTGGGGGAGAGGTTTAGGGAGGGGGAAGCATCTCACATTCCCCTTCTCGCCATCCTGCTGAGAGCGAAACAGGCAGTAGCTTGAGGTAGAATGCTCTTAAATATGTTTTGGGAGGTCCCCGCACATATTGCATCAGTGTTCCAGCTAGCACGCAGTGTTCGGAAGGTCCTGCGGCTTTAGCGTCTTCGGTCTTCGAAAGCACAGATGTCACAGGGATGACACATGATCCTCCTCCTTCCCATCATCACTGTACTCCCACCCCTTGGTGTTCAGAGACTTGGCAATGCTTATACATATAACAGGGGGACCGGGTCCGTGGCCCCGGGTTGGCCTCTGGACCGCAAATGTGTGTGTGTGTGCATGTGGGGATGATGCGCGCAAATGGATGGGGGGGAAAGGGCAGGAGATGAGTAGAATAGGCTGCCGAGAGGAAGCAAGTACCCTCGCGTTGGCTATACATGCGGTATACGCGCGCTGGCAGATACGCGCAGAAAATACAGACGTGGACATCGTGATCGCACGCCACTTTAAGAAAGCCAGCCGGCATTCTTCCTTCCTCTCCAATTATTCCTTCTCCTCCTTTCCCGTATTCAGCGGCCCCTCTTGGGCCCCGGCAGGCGGCAACCCAGTCGGAGACCGCCCCTGCTGCCGCTGTCTTGTGGCCGGAGCTGGCCCCTTGGCCCGCCCAGAACCATTCGGTTCTGGAGGCCGCAGTCTTCGACTCGAATGGGTCGGCCGCTGGCTCGATCGCTCTGTGCTCTTCGTGCGGGGCCGTGTGCCAGATAGGAGGCCACTGGGGTAGGTCTGCTCTCGCGTCGGATTGCCTGCACGCGTGCTCCACAGGTCATGACAGGCAATTGACTTGGATTTTGCGCGGGGACCATCCGTCTCGCAAAGGCTTCCGTGTCGACAGGCCGACTGTGATTTCGGAGGCATCGAGGGCCTGGCTGGCACCCAAGATGGGGCTGGAGCAGCAGCCCGCCCTCGCACGGCCGCCTGCCGAGCGCTTGGCGCCGACGGCTCCTACTGGGATGGGGGTGGACTTGGCGAGGGGGTTGGCGTTGTTCGGCTTCCCGGATCGGGCTACGGCCGAGGCCCTCGGTGCCCGTGCTGTGGAGCGCAGGAACCGTGCGGCTCGAGCCGAACTCGAAGTGGATTCTTTTGAGTTTTAACCCCGACCTGTGGGGCGTCCTTGGCCCCAGGTGGCGACCTCTTTGAGGCCGATGTGCCGCCGCTGTCTTGATGCATGTTGGAATGCGATCGCTTCCCCAGCGGGTGCCGGCCTCCTTTCCCGTATCCTCTATCGCCGCTTTCCACCTTCTCCCCCGTCGTTTTCACCACATGTATATTGGGGCCCTAATGGCTTGCATCCGCTGGAAGAGTGAGGAGGAGGAGGAGGAGGAGGAGGAGGAGGATGGCGAGGAGGAGGCGGTGGATGAAGGGGGGATGGCGAGAGGAAGAAAAAATGATAAGGAGGAAGAGGAGGATGGCGAGGAGGGGGAGGTCAAGACGCAGCCTACAGCCTGATCGTGAAATGGCATGCGAAGCAACGCAATCACTCCGATGGCAACGCATCGAGCATCCGCAGATGCGAAGCTCGACCGGCGGCGCCCCTGGGCAAACCAGCCCCACGGAGCAACCATCGGCGAAAATTAAGACTCGAAGGAAAACGATCCTGTCCCCTGATGGAGAAAAAGGAGGATGAAGAGAAGGGGGAGGATGAGGAGGACATGGGGGAGGAGGAGGAGGAGGAGGAGCAGGAGCAGGAGCAGGAGGAGGAGGAGGAGGAGGAGGAACGGGAGGAAGAGGAGGGGGAGGAGGAGGAGGAGGAGGAGGAGGAGGAAGAACGGGAGGAAGAGGAGGAGGAGGAGGAGAAGGAGGAGGGCCCTCACTCCCGCCCCCCCCCCCCACACCCGCGAGGCGGCAGAGGCACCGTCCCAGGGCCCAGCCCCAGAGTCCGCGGAGGCGCCCGCCGCCGCGGAGGCGCCAGCGGCGGCACCCCGGGAGGAGCAGGACGAGATGGAGACGGAGATGGGAGAGAGGATGAGAGGGGCAGGATGGTGATGCTGATGCTGATGCTGATGCTGAGGAGGAGGAGGAGGAGGAGGAGGAGAGGGGGAGGAGGAGGGGAAGCAGGAGGAGGAGGAGAGAGGAGGGAGGAGGAGGAGGAGGAGGAGGCGGAGGAGGAGGAGGAGGAGGAGGGGAGGAGGAGGCGGAGGAGGAGGAGGAGGAGGGGAGGAGGAGGAGGAGGAGGAGGAGGAGGAGGAGTGGGAGGAGAAGGAGGATTTGGAGGAACAGGAGGGGGAAGAAGAGAGGAGGAGGAAGAAGAAGAGGAGGAGATGCAGACCGTCCCTTCAGCAGTCCAGGTCACCATTGGGCCCATAGAGTGCGTAATAGAGAATGCTGGGGTAGTCCAGGGCATCTGTTAGGGGAGTGGCTTGTAGGGAGCGGTAGGCAGCAGCAGGCCGACAGTGGTACAGAAAGTCCCTTCTTACCTCTCGCTCGAGGACGTCCAAACGCTAGGCTCGATCCCATCCATGGGCCAGCGGATCGTCTGGCGGATAAAGCGGCAGAGGAGGGAACCATGACAGTCCATATGTTGTTTCAGTCCAGGCGCCACGTTCTCGAAGTGGATCTCTTCGGTTCGCAAGTTTCAGACTCACGCCTGGCGGTCAGGTGGAGCAAGCCTCCTTTCTATACGGAGCGGCCACCAAGGGCAGCCGACAGGAGCAGACATTCAGTGTCCCCGTGCTCTTTCGCGCCGGGCTAGAGTCTACAGTCAACCCGCATAGTAAGGTTGGGCAACCTTCGCCAGGGTACCCTTGCAGCCTTGCCTCCTCGGTCCATCCTTCGCCGCTTGCGCTTGCCGCGCCTCGCTCGAAACGCTTCGGCATGGGCGTCCGAGGCCCTTGCATGCTTATCGCGCATCCTTACTATGCTGGTTGACTGTAGAGCGGCTCAGGTGGCCGAGTGAGTCGTCTCGATCACCCAGTTGACCAGGGGCCCCGATTCCCCTGAGGCTGCACTCTTTGCTCCCAAGCGGATGAGGGAGGCAGGAGGACTTTCCTGAGTTCTGCCTGCCCAGGCCGCTCAGCGGCCATACACCCCTCCCGTCGGTTACAAGACCACCGTGGAACTTTCTGGCGCCAGCGCTGCGGATCTTAGCTGTCCCGTCTAGGCGCGAGCTTCTAAACTTTGGGGAGCACCTGTGTGCCTGGCCTCGCTGAGCATTGGTGACGGGTGAGGAGGTCGTCGATGGCAGGCAAGGTTTCGCCCGATCTGGAGGCGTGTCCCGATTGTTCGGAAGATTGGGTCCACCTCGTGCCGCGGCCCCAGGTTCCAAATAGCGTCCCTGGCTTCTGAGGTGACACATCCAGATCGGGGTGGCCCAGTACCCTCCTTTATGTCCGAAGGGTATCTCAACGGATCAGTCCCCAGAGGCAGGCGGGAGGAACGAGCAGGAGAGGGAGGAAGAGGAGGAGGAGGCGGAGGAGGAGAAAGAGGAGGCGGAAGAGGAGAACGAGGAGGATGAGGATGAGGAGGAGTAGAAGGAGGAGAAGAGCAGAGAGGAGAGGAGGTGGAGGAGGAGGTGGATGAGGGGGGGGGGGGCGGAGAAGGAGCAGGAACAGGAAGAGCAGCAGGAGGAGGGGTTTCGCCACCCGACAGGGGGAACAGCCGACGAGAAGCAGGAGGTGGACGATGAGGAGGAGGAGGTGGACGAGCAGGAGGAGGATGAAGCCGTGGAAGGGGGACGAAGGGGAGGGAAGTGCCGAAAGGACGAAAAGGAGGCGGAGCAGAAGGAGAAGGGGGAATCTGAGAAGGAAGAGGAGGAGGGGGAGGAGGAGGAGGAGGAGGAGGAGGATGAGGAGGGGAAGGAGGAGGAGGAGGAGGAGGAGGAGGAGGAGGAAGATCAGCAAAGGAGGAGCACCCTTCCGTCCCAGGCCGTCTCCTAGGAAGTCGTGGCAATACTCATGCCCGTTCGCTGCGAGCAGCTCCCCCCTGGAGGACTGACGCCCCGTGGGCCTGTGGTCCAGGCGTCGGCACCGTGTTGGGGGGGGGCTGCCCCGCAGCCTCCCATTCGGCGATGCCGAGCGCGAGCACACTGGACCCGAAAGCCAAACGAGGCGTGCAGCGACAGCCCCGTCTTGAGAACGAGCCGCCCTTCGCCCTGGCAGCTGCTGTGGATTCCAAGCTGCTGGCCGCGAGCTTTTGGAACCGAAGAGGCCCCCCGATTCTGAAGAGAAGCTCGCCTCGGACCTCGCAGCAGATCCAAGCGTCGGGGGAGGGGCATGTGCGTGGCGCGGGGGCGAGGATCTCCTGTCGGAAGCGCACCGCCCTCCACCCCCCCCTGCACGTGTCTTGGAAGCTGCTGAAGGAGATGGGCGGGGACCCAAGGCGAGAGCCCCCTCTGGAAGAGGGCCCGCCCTCCACCCGGGAAGCTCCTGCGAACTGCTGGGCGCATGCGCTCGGCGCCGAGGTAGTCGCCCCCCGCACGGATGACCCTCGTTCTCTCCTTGTAGCCGTGGCGAACGTGCACGACGCGTGCGCGCGGCGCTGAGGTGAAGACCACGTTATGAACATGGCCCCCCCCCTCTGTTCGCCGCGTGGTCGCTGTCAATTGCATGCTTCAGATTATGTGCGGCGAGGGGCTATCGGGCGAACCGCCCGGCTTGGCGGGTGCGACAGGGAAGGGTTATCGAAACTAACGGACCACGGGAGGATTCGGAGGAGGGGGAGGAGGATCAGGAGGAGGATGAGGAGGAGGAGGATGAGGAGAGAGGAGAGAGGAACAGGAGGAGCAGGAGGAGCAAATTGTAGGTGGAGCCTAAGGGAGAGGGTGGACAATGTCGACGAGGAGGACGGGGACGAGGGCCGGGATGAAGACTGGGAGGAGAAGGTGAAGCAGGAGGAGATGGATGTGGGGTTGAAGGTGAAGGCAGGTGGGAGAGAAGGAGGATCACGAGGAGGAAGGGCAGGATCATGTAGGTGGGCGAGGAGGGGTGTGGGAATGCCGTAAGGACGAGGAGGCTAAGGAGTAGGGGAGAGGAGGATGAGGATGAGGAGGGGACGGAGGAGGAGGAGGAGCAGGAGGAGGAGGAGGAGCAGCATGATGAGGTGGAGGAGGCGGAGAATTCGCCCTCCCGCGAGGAGGAAGAGGCGCCGCCTATGGGCCCAGCTCCAGGGCTTTCGGAGCCGCCCGTTGCCGCGGAGGCGCCAGCTGGGACACAGGAGCAGGGGGCGAGGAAGGGGAGGAGGAGGCAGAGGAGGAGGAGGAGAAGGAGGAGGAGGAGGAAACGAGGAGGAGAAGGAGGAGGCGGAGGAGGAAGAGGAGGAGGAGGATGAGGAGGAGTGTGGAGGACGACGATCAAGAGGAGGACGAGAGGAGAGAGAGAGAGAGAGAGAGAGGAGGGAGGAACAGGAGGAGCAGCAGGAGCAGATTGCAGGCAGGGGGGGGGAGAACAGAGAGGAGGGAGGCGTAGCATGGAGAGGATGGACGATGTCGACGGGCACGGCGAGGGACGAGGCGCGGGATGAAGCTTGGGCGTCGCCCTCCCGCGAGGAGGCAGAGGCGCCGCCCCTGGGCCCGGCTCCAGGGCTTTCGGAGCCGCCCGCTGCCGCGGAGGCGCCAGCTGGGACACAGGAGGAGGAGGCAGAGGTGGAGGAGGAGGAGGCGGAGGAGGAGGAGGAGGAGGAGGAGGAGGGGGAGGCGGAGGAGGAGGAGGAGGAGGAGGAGGACGAGGAGGGGGAGGCGGAGGAGGAGGATGAGGAGGAGGAGGGGGAGGCGGAGGAGGGGGAGGCGGAGGAAGAGGAGGAGGCAGAGGTGGAGGAGGACACAGGAGGAGGAGGAGGAGGAGGAGGTGGATGGAGAGGCGGAGGAGGAGGGAGGAGGAGGAGGAGGAGGAGGCAGAGGAGGAGGAGGAGGAGGAGGAGGGGGCGGAGGGGGAGGAGGAGGAGGTTGAGGGAGGAGGAGCAGGATAATGTAGACAGGCGGAGAGAGGAGAGAGGAGAGAGGAGGTGGAGTAGGAGGAGTGTGGCGGACGATATCGACGCGGACGGCGAGGGACGAGGAGTGGGTTGAAGACTGCGAGGAAAAAGGAGGAGGAGGACCGGCGCCACCCCAACATACTTCTACTACATGTGCGTCGCCCCCCCCCCCGGGGGCGACACGCGCATCGAGAAATCTTATAGCATATGCATCGTGACTGGCGCTTTCTGGCCACACCGCTCGGGAAACGATACACTACAAGATGGGTATCTTATATGTTCGGGTCGGACGCGCGCCTGCGAGGAGCACATATAGTATTAGTATGTACCTGCTCTTCCCAGAGGTTGAGGAGGAGAGGGAGGAGGAGGAAGAGGAGGAGGTGGGGGGGGGAGGGATGGGGAGAAGAGCGTCATGCGGAGGTGGATGAGGAAGGACAACAGGAGGATTTAGCGGTGGGGGTGGGGACGGTCGAGTGGGCGGAAGATCAGGAGCAGGAAAGAGACGCAGGAGGAAAAGGAGGAGGAAGACCAGTGCAAACCCAAGACGCATCAACGATGTTGTAATGGGGTTCCCCGTCAAGTTCATTCTTCAGGGGCACCTACAAGAATAGATGTTCTTTGCTGAAAGTTCCCCATTGACAGACATCCGTCCGAGAAGCCTCGACCGCGCCAACACATAGTTCATGGCACTGCAGCGCCGCGAATCAACGTGAATGTTGCGCCCTGGCAGTCCTGGATCGTTCCAGAACCCAGCTCCTGGGAGTTCAACTCCGCGAAGTAGCATGACTGCTACGCCCCGGCAACCCTAAATCGCGCCAGAACGCCCTAACCGGGATGACAATCATGCGAACCGTTGACGGCTTACCAACCGTGCATGACGAACGTGCGTGGCGCTATGGCGAGCGCAACATGTTGAAACATAACCGCCCTCCATCTTCAAAACAGTTGCAAACTCTGAAGACGAATGTGCGCGGGACTGCGGCGAGAGCCACATGGTGAACACCACCCGCCCTCCTTCCGTGAAATTGCCGCAGATGGTTAAGACGAGCGTGCGCTGGGCCGAGGCGTGAGCCTTATTTTGGAGAACCAAGTTTCAAGTTTCAGGATCATCAGTGGTGAAGAAGTCTCAGGCGGAACGCTCGGCCCGCCCTACCGACACGTCTGGGGGTGCGACAGGGAGGACTTATCCAGTTACTTGCGGCAAGTCCCGCCACCGTGCCAGCCCAGCATTCTTGGTGGCCATTGTTCGAGGGGGCACGGGGGCCTTCATGTGTGACACCTCGTGTCCCCAGGCTTGGGATAGCCGTGACGAGGATGATGAGGGTTATGCAGATGATGGGATGACGATGCTGATGATGCTAATGATGATGATGATGAGGAGGAGGAGGAGGATATGGAGGAGGATGATCAGAAGGAGGAGTCGGTGATGATGATAATGACGACTAGGAGGAGGAGGAGGAGGAGGAGGAGGAGGAGCAGGAGGAGGAGGAGGAACAGCAGGATGAGGAGGAGGATAAGGGTGATGATGATGACGATGATGATGATGCTGATGCTGATGATGATGATGATGATGATGCTGATGATGAAAATGATGAAAATGATGAAAATGATGATGATGATGATGATGATGATGATGATGATGATGATGATGATGATGATGATGATGATGATGATGATATTGATAGTGATAGTGATAGTGATAGTGATAGTGATAGTGATAGTGATAGTGATAGTGATAGTGATAGTGATAGTGATAGTGATAGTGATAGTGATCGTGATCGTGATCGTGATCGTGATCGTGATAGTGATGATGATAGTGATGATGATCAAACTCGTTAGGGCTGCCTTCAGGCTGCCTTGTCCTCATGTGAGGTGTCTTGGGGATCCCTTGGCGCCCTCTTGGTCCGTCTTGGGGTCCTCTTACGCTGGTTTGGGGCTCTCTTGGGGCCCTCTTGGCCACATGGTAGGTACACGGGCGCCGTCTTGCCGGCGTCGTGGGCCGTCGAATGGCCTTCTAAGGCCGTCCGTCATGGGTCCCACGGGGAGCCCTTGTGGGTCGTCTTGGGGCCGTCTTGGATGCGTCTTGGGCCACCGTGGAGTTCTAGTTGCCCGTCTTCAGCTGACGGCAGCCCGAACAGAGCGAGAGTGCTAAACTTATGAACGAACCTCATGGGGAATCAATGATCTTGGCTGCACCGGAGGTGCCATCGTGGGCCGTCTGGAGTCTATATGTACGGCCGCCCTTGAGGCCATCCTGGGCCGTCTGCGAGGCATCTTGGGCCTTCTTGGTGCCCCTGGTTGCCTGCACGGGCCGTCCCCGACGCCCGGGCCGCGCTCGCCCTGCTTTCACCGGGGGGGGTCGCGTCTGGAGAGGCCCGGGAGCGCTCGGGCGCCGCGCCCGCGGCCCGCGGGAGACGCACACGCCTCTCGAGCGGGGCGCGCGAAGGCCGAGGGGTCCAGGAGCCCGCGGCCGCGCGGGAAGTGTGTGTGCACCCTCCGCGGCGCGGGCGCGAGCGGAAGGAGGGCTCGGGCCTGCGGGAGGGGCGCCCTCCTCGAGCGGGCACGCGTGGGAGGGGCGCCATCCTCGAGGGGCACTGACTGGGGGACCAAAAGGGGCATAAGCATATAACAAGCTCGGAGGTCCGCGCGGATTTCTCGGATCGGCGCTGGGGCCCCCCCGGCGGCGCCTCTGGCGCCGCCCCTGGCGCGCTCCGCGCGCCAGGGAGGGGGGTCCAGCGCCGATCCGAGAAATCCGCGCGGATCTCCTAGCTTTGTTAACTACTTGGTGCGCGGAGTCTTATTCCGGGCATTTGTCTGTTTGCTCTTCTTCCGGGAAGACCGCTCTAGCGGCCACGGGTTTGCCAGCCTTCGCCCAGCTTCCAACGCACGCATCACAGTCGGTCGTGGCGGGCAGCAGCTCGACCACAGGACGAAGGATTGCAAAAAAACCAAGGATTGCAAACCAAGGATTGCAAAAAAAACAAGGATTGCAAAAAAACCAAGGGTTTTTTTGCAATCCTTCGGTCTACCAGGCGGTGGCAGAGGCCAGGCCGCAGGAGCGGCGGGGCGGTGGTGGCCGGAGGCAGGCGGCAGTGGGCGAGCCGCTGCGGAGGGCAGCGCGCGTTGGCCGCCGCCGCGACGCGCGGAGCGTAGCTTCCTTGCCGTAGCCTTCCGTCGGGCCTGTCCCTCGACAGTCACCACCTACCAGACCACCCCAACCCAACCCGAAGGATCAGATTTACCCTCGATTTCCAGTGGGGGGGGGTCGGGGAACGTCGAAAAAACACATGGAACCCGTACCCCCCCCAACCCGAAATTCGGGTCAAATTCGGGTCTTCGGGTTGGGTTGGGGTGGTTTGGTAGGTAGTCAGACAGGAGGAATATCCCGAAATAGTCACACGATAGTCTGGGGACGAATTCCCGAGTTTTTGTTCGACCATTTTGGGATATTTGTTGGCTCTTTTGTCATTTGTCGCCCACCATCCTCTCTGTAGGGGGACATGCTCGATCTAGCCTTACCGTAGCCGCGGACGTTCACCGCGTCGCTCAGGAACCAGGCGTGGACGAACAGCGTGGCGGTGATCAGAACGGGTCTGGGCTTCCTAGATGGGGTCCGAGTAGGTGAGGTCGGAGGATCGCTCCGCATCGACGATGCATCGACGATGCCGCTCGATGTGGAGCCCGTGTTGCCCCACGCTGACGCCGCCGATGCATCGGCGGTGCATCGCCGATGCGTCGCCGATGCATCGCCGATGCATCGCCGATGCATCGGCGATGCATCGGCGGTGCATCGGCGGTGCGGCGCGATCCTTCGGCCCCATCTAGGAGGTCTCGAACGGTCCCCCTGCAGGCCGGCCAGTAGGGCGACGAGCAGGGCGGCAAGCAGAGCGAGAAGGAGGTCGACTGCCGGTGGTCAGCGCAGCGAGGTCGTGCAGGTCGGCAAGCAGCGTGGCTCATGCAGTGGCGAAGCGTCCGGGCGTGCCTATCGGCCTATCAAACAATGTTATAAAAAAACCTTGTGTGGTTTCCACGGAATGTTCTTTGAACATTTTTGGTTGGGATTATCTTGTTGTATCACATCGGGTTCATGTTCTAAGAACATTGTTTTCATTATTTAATCGCTTCGCTCATTCCGCCGGCCCATACAGTCTCATGTCTGCCGTTTGCCCGAGGGCCTGGTGTCAATGCGGCGCTTTGGGGGTTCCTGGGGCCGCTTGGGGGACTCCTGGGGCGCTCGGGGGGGCATTTGGGGGGCCTCCTGGGGCCGCTTGGGGGACTCTTGGGGGCCTCCTGAGGGCCCCGTGGGGGCCTCTTGGGGCCTCTTAGGGGCCTCGTAGGGGCTTCTTAGGGCCGAGGGCTCGAAATGTTGTTTCGTGTTCCCTCTCTGGGGCCCCTTTGGGGGCGTTCTTGGGGCCCTCTTGGACCGTTTTGGAGGCTTCTTGGGCCGTCTTCGAGCCCTCTTGGGCCATCTTGGGGCCCTCTTGGGTGCCTCTTGGGCCCTCTTGGGGCGATCTTGGGGGCCTCTTGGGCCGTCTTGGGGCGTCGGGAAGCCGAAAAGGTGGAAGCTCCAAAATCTCTCAAAAACCTATGGAAAAACAATGATTTTTGCCTCCGGGGGCCCTATTGGGAGTGCTCTTGGAGGCCTCTTGGGGCGTCTGGGGGCTATCTTGGGCGTCTTGGAGCGATCTTGTGGCATGTCGGACCCCTCGTGTACCATCTTGGGGGCCTCTTGGGGGCCTCTTGGCCTTTCTTGGGGCTCTCGGGGACGTCTCGGAGCCCTGTTGGTGCGCTCATGGAGCGCTCGGGGGGACCCGGCCGGGACCTGGTCGGGGTACTTTTCGTCCGGGGACCCCCAGGGGCCGCCCCGCGCGCGCGAACTAGAAAATTGTTAACCAGTTACCGGAGATCTTAGCACGCCTCTGGCCCGTTGGGCCGGCGAATTTGAACATGGTTGGGTTCTAAGAACATCTCGTGGTAGGACTATAGGAATGCCAGGACGGTCGGTCCCCGCTCAAGCGGCGAGCACCCCGCCAACGCGCTGCGTGGCGCGGACTAGCAGCACCGCGCTGAGCAGCAGCGCGAATTCCATGTCCACCATCTGGCCATTCAGCGATGTTGGAACTCCACGTATCCCCGTATCCCTGGCAACAACACGGCTGCTGGACCCACGGGGTGTGGGGGGGGCGGAGAGTATGACGAGAGCCAAGTCGCTGAGCGCGCACCAGCAACGCAGCGACGAGACTAGTGACGACACTCGGGGATCTGCGTTGGAATTGCACGACGAGTGGGCTGGGTGCAGTTGCGTGGTGGCGGGTCCCAGGAAGGTGTTCAGATATCCGGCCATTTTGTTTAGAGCCCCGAATCATCAGGGGTAGCTCGGGTCAGGGCTAACTCGGGTTCGTTTTTCGGGAATCCGGACCCGACTTACCCCGGACCCGAGTTACCCCGGATAATTCGGGCGTCCAGAGCCCCACATCATCAGGGGTAACTCGGGTCAGGGCTAATTCGGGTTCCTTTTTCGGGAACCCAAACCCGAGTTACCCCGGACCCCAGTTACCCCGGATAACTCGGGCGCCCAATTTGTGCCACCA